GCCCCAGCTTCCCGTATGCTGGTGGGCGCTGCCCCGCCTGATGCCCGAGCGCGCCCCCGAGCTCCGCGCGCTCCCTGCGCCCTGACACCTGGGCGCGCCGCCGCCGCCGCCGCTCTCGCACGGCACGCTGCGCGCCCTCCTCGCCTGCAGGTGAGGAGTCTGCCAGAGCAGAGGTCAGGCTGCCCAGCCAGGCAGGAAGGCGCGAGAAGCCACGGCCACATCGGGGTACAGGCTGGGCGCTGCTGATGGGGCGCGGGCTGCGCTGTGTGCCTGCGCACAGCGGGAAGCGGGGGCGTGCATCGGCTCTCGCTAGTGTGCACGCCCACGCGCACCTCTCCGGTTGACACAGGGAGAGCCCCCTTTGGTCCAAACTCGTCCGGACGCGCGGGGACTGTCCACTCTGCCGCGATCTCTCCGGCCCTCGCGCTCCTTGCACACAGCCTGGGCTGCGAGGGTAGTGGGATGCCCTCGGGCTACCCTTTTTCTGACCCCGCAGCTGGACTTCTCCCTGCCGCAGCTGTTCCCCGGGTGCGCTACCTCAGCACTTCGGCAATCCAAGATCCCCAGCAGCTTTCTTACGCGCGGGACCCCCGACGCCCCTCCCTGGGCCCCGCTGCCCAGTTCCTTGCCCGCCCCAGGCCAGCACTGAAGGCCAGGGGTCACACCCGCCCACCCTGCGCGCCGCCCGCGGCACTCACAGGTAGCTGCCGCTGGACAGGAGGAGAAAGATCTGCGGGCAATAGACGGAGAGGAGCGCGCGGCGCGGCGACAGCGGGAGCATGGTGGGCCGCGCGCCTGGGGGGCTGGGCAGGCCCCTCCAACAGGGCTCGCGCGCCAGCCGAGGCCGAGGGCCCCCACGGCCCTCCCCGATGTAGGGCGGCCGCGCTGGGCGCTAGGGGCCGGGACTCGCGGGCCAGGGGACAGTCATCGCCCGGGCCCCACCGCCAGGGCCGTGCATCGCGCTGGATCTGGGGATGCAGCGGACGCCGGGGCTGGAGAAGAGAGCTGTGGCCGGGCTGGGGGTGGCGGACGCGCCTTGGCGGCTGTCTGGCCCTCCGTCCGTCTGTCGGTGAGAACCGGCTCTGTCGCTGCGCTGGCTCACGTCTCCCAGTCTCCCGAGGCGCGCAGCTGCCATTGGACGGGCCGCCCCTACATCCGCCTCCTCGGCGGGCGGGTTTTTTTAAAGGGGAGGCTGACCAGAGAGCTCAGCCCGAGGCGGGAGCCGCCCCCAGGGTTTGCCCAAGTTGCCTTGGCCGGAGGCGCTCACCCCCACCTTCAGTGAGCCTTACAGCTCTGAGCTGGCTCTGGAGCGCACCCCTGGGGGTGGCACCCCGGGGTAACCTCACAGAGGCACATGCTGCTCTTCCTGGCTGTGCTCAGCAGCGCGTGGCCGGCGGCATGCACGCATGTGCCTGCGTGTGCCTGTGGCAGCATGGGGGCAGGTGTGTGTGCACGGCCTCCTGCGTGTACTAGAGCAGGGGACCTGGATGTGGAAGCGCATGATGCAGCAGGCCACCCCTGCCTGGTGCTACAGCTGTCTGTCCTGCTTCCCAGGGCCCTCCCGGGGAAGGGGGGGGCGCTGGACAGGAGGCCTCTCCCCACGGTGGGGAGCCCCAACTCAAGCTTCCCCACCCCACAGCTTGGGCTGTCCCTTGAGGATTTGCTTGGGACGGCTGTGGAGCGGAAAGTCACTTGCTGAAGAATCCTTTCTTTTTCCATAGTTTTTTCTTTAAGCCTAGAAGCACGGGATTGGAGCCCAGCTCCCTCTGGAGGGTTGAGTCTTGTCAGACCGGAGGGGAGTCGCGCGGCAAGGCTAGGCATCCAGAAAGGGGAGCTCTGCGGTGGCAGGGCTTCCTGAGAGCACATTTCCTGGCTTTAGGCCTGTCATGGAGACTCATTTCCAGTGTCCAGAAGGAAGGCTCCTCCTCCTCCACCACCATCTTCATCCCTTCTGGTCCCAGGTCCTCCAGCCCCTCGGCTCCTCCTGGCCGTGAAGGCCCAGGCAGGGCTGGTCCTGGGACCTCAGTGGTCCAGACTCCAGCAGAGCTGCTCCCTATGCTGCCTTGGCCTCTTCCAGGCCTGGGGCTTGGAGGTCTCACCATCCAAAAATCGCCCCAGGTAGGAACTTGGGCTCCACAAAGCCATTCTCTTTTGCAACCATCAGAACCCAGGGTAAATCTGCTCAGGCCAGGGGCCGACTTCTGGTTCTGCTGGTATGGAGCCCCGAGGGCCATTCGTCTGATTCGCACAGCTGCAGGGTGCTGGGTGAGGAGTGCGCACTTGCAGGTGGGGGTGGGGGCCGCATGCCCTCCCTGAACATGCAGAAACACGCAGCACGCCGGGGTGGGCTTGGGGAGCAGGGATCACGGAAAGCCCTCAACACCCGCAATCTCTGAACTGAGGTTGGAACCTTTATGCCCGTAAAATCCCAACTCCTGGGATTCTGAGACGGTGGGATATAGCATTCGGAAGCAGTCCCGGGGTGCCAGTGGGGCAGTGGTCTCCTGGTCACTGAGGTAAGAAAGGCTTGACAGATGTCCGGGTGCTTATGGAGACACTTGCCCCTGCCAGGCCCCTACTGTACCAGAGCAGAAGCCTCAGGACGCTCTGCTCCTCCCAGCCATGGGAAGGAAGGCTGCACAGGTAAGCAGGTGCCACTCCAGGACAGGCCGGGAAGGGTGGGCCCCGCAGTCCTCTCCTGCCTACCTGATACCCCTGAGATAGCACACACAGAAAGCAGGGCCAGGCCTCTGGGAGGAGCCAGCTGGGTGGCTCCCCTCTCTGCCTACCCTTCCCTTAGGGACCAGCAGGAACTCACCAGGGGGAAGGGACCTCCTCTGAGGTTCCTGGGTAGGGCGAGGGCCTCTAGGAGAGGAGCCTGCCCCTCTCATACAGTCTGGGATGAGGGGCCTATGCTGGCCTTGGGGCTGCACTCTGGCTCACCTGCTTTCTGTCCCATGCCGTCGAGAGTAGCCAGAGCCTCCATGCCACTTATAAAGGGGGCAGGCAGCTCGGGAAGGGGCGCAGACCTCCACGCCTGGGGACCCACCCTGCCAGAGCCCAGGCTGCCTGACCCTCAGCTCCTGCTGCTTGGGTGGGGGGCTCTTTCCACTGCCTGTGGGAGAGGGGCTGCTCTCCCAGGAGCCTGTTGAGATCTTGTTGTTAGGAAGAGTGGGCCCAGCTCCGACACTGATCTCCATGGTCAGTGACTTGGCCTCCTGCACTGTTTCCTAAGCCTTAAAGCCTGGACAGCTAAAGCCCCAAACCAGGGCTTGCCAGGAGCTGCCCAAGGCCTCCGTGGGGAGCCAGGCAGCAGGGATGACACCCGGGGTGCCAGGTGTCTGGAAGACAGGCCCACCCCAGCCCCTGCCGCTGGACGCAGGTGCCCCACACCTCCATAAACAAACACGCAGGGACACAGCCTGCCCACAGACTACAATAAACAGCCACCAGGAGCAGGGCAGGCGCCCGCCCAGGCCTGTAGGACTGAGACCGGGACCGGACTTCCAGCCCTGCCCCGCCCACCCTTGGCCTGGGTTCCTCCACCTGTAAAACAGCGGAGGCAAGGAGGGATCGAAGGGCGATGGACGAGCTGATTCTAGGGGCAAGGGTCCGCCACCAGCCTGGGAAGCCTGTCTTTCCATGAGTCCCCGCGGGTCTGCTCACAAAGGCCCGTGGGTGCGCCAGGCACACAGTAGGAGCACAGCGGGACGGGGTGATGGGGTGTGGCTACCACAAGGGCGAAGGCTGGGGCAGTGGGCGCCGTCCGCGAGGTGCACCGTATTCCCTCCGGGTCACACCACCCCTCCACCCCCAACCGAGGGAGGCCGAGACAGATTCTGTCTGAAGGAGATCGCAGCTCAACAGGTAAGGACTCGGCTGGGTTCAGGAATGTGGAAATACGACTCGGAGCAGCTACCGCAGCGAGCAGCGCGCGGCCCGCCGGGTGCGCGCGAGGGGGAGCGCAGCGAGAGGGGGCCCGGCCGGGGATCTTGGGCGGGCGGGGGCTCGGCCCCGGACCCAGCCCGAGGCAGCCGGGCCAGCCCCGCAGCCCATCCCGAGCCAGCCGGACGAGTTGTCAAGGTAATTTCAACACGTCCGGGTGATGGATAGAGACGCGGGGCCGCGGCGGCTGCGGGGTCTGCACGCGCGCCGCCCGGTGCGC